TACAATACTGGAATTACAGGGGTATGCCAGCATGACCAGCTTTATGAAGTAGACTTAATCCTGATCAAAATAGTAAAAATGACCAACAACATGACTTGTGTCAATGCCTTAAGTACACAGGTCCAGCTGTGCCCCTGCAGTGGCATGGCCTTTACCAAGTGGAGGCAACTGACCTTCATCACAGGAGAATGTATGTAGCCCTCCTCATACTCTTGGCTGTGTTGCCCTCATGCCGGGTACAATGATGCCTGGTAGGCCATGGAGGCAAAGGAGCCCCTTAACTGAGAGCTCAGTTCTTGTGCTACACACTTTGATTATGAATCCTGACTCTGCCACTTATTTGTTGGGTAACCGTCACCTTCTGGTCTCAGTTTGCCTGTGTGTAAACTGTGCTTAGTAATACTTATCTGCACAGTTTATGAAAATTAGAGGAGATAGTGAATGGTTTGGGGCAGGATTCTCTAGAAGACGTGGCAGTGCTGGGTGAGGTGTGATTTGAGCCCTGGCTACGAGTCCCAGACGAAAGGGGTACCTCAGGTAGGACAGTCCTAAAGATCATCCCTGGCTTGGACTTGCTGAGCCCAGCAGACCTGGGCAGCTCCCTATGGCATGCTGTGTGTGTTTCTGGGGATGGGCTGGGGAGGTAGACAGTAGCCAGGGGCTCAGGCTAGAGAGAAGAATCCTGCGACACACCCTCTTTGTGAGGTCCTGCTCTAGGCTGCCAGGTGTCCCAGCAAGATCTTCTCACTTTCACTGAGGGAGGGTTTGGTGAAACTGGGTGGGGGTGAGATCTGGAAGGGGCCCAATTAGTACCCCCTGTATCAAAGAGGTCTGGAACACCCTGGTGGGTGGGAGATGTGTGTGAATGGGAGCTGCTGGGGAAGCCCTGGTTCAGTGAGAATGTTCCTTTGCCTGGGTGAATCATTCTCATGTCCCTGTGGGTAAGCCCCCCACCCCAGGAGCTAATAGCCTCATACTCAATATCTTTACATTTCCTCAAAAATGAAATTTTATAATTGCAGTAAAACCTGGCTAAACAGTCTAGCCCAGAATGTTCCTGAACAGTGACCATGCATGTATATTCTTCCCTCCAGGCAGCTGAATGTGGTGACTGAGGAAGGGAGTCTATCCTCGGATCTCTCATACTGTCCCTCCTCAGGCCTTGCTTCCACTTTGGGTACCTTCCCTTGGGCATCCATGTTCTCTTGCTCTTACAGCCTTACCTTTCCATGATCTGCATTTTACAGAAGAGGAAGATGAACCAGGAACTCACAGAGAGGTTGCACAGTCTGCTTCGGGCCCCTGGGCTATCACACCAGAGAGCAGGCATTAGAACCCAGGCCCACTGACCAGCTTTCTCTGCTCTGCTGCTCCCTTCTCTCTCTTCCCTGATTCTTCACACTTAGGGGGTCAGCATAACCTGCTATGGGACATCTTACTCAGCAGTAAAGTCCTCACAGCACATTTCCCAGTCTCGCTTTCCCTTAGTCTAGCTTCTCCAGATGGGTTTACAGGCTGCTCAGTGCTGTGATGTGCGTGGTAACCGGGGCTGCGTCTCCTTGGTGACATCAGCTTCCATGCTGTCATTACTGTGTGCTGTTTAAGAATTAAAACATCATGTGTGTTTCTTCTTCTTTACCATCGGATAGCCCCCCCCACCCCCCAAGAGGGGTGCCCTCCCTAGATCAGGATGGCAGGGGACTTTTCAAGAGGAACTGCTCCTGGGGCTCAGGGCAGCTGTTCTGTCAACACACAGGAAGTGCTTCCTGAAAGCTTCCTAGCAAGGGCAGCAGGGCTGGCCCATCTGGTGCAGTCAGAAAGGGGGAAACCAAATGGTATTCTCTCTTTTATTTGTTCAGGGTTTGAGTGCAGCAGACCGTGTGAGAAGGGAGGAGAAGAAGATACCACCCACTGTCCACTATCTGACTCATTCTTTTTGTCTGATCCACAGTTTTTTACATCCATAAAATGAGGGTAATGGCTATACGTCACTGTGGAGAAGTTGCTTCGAGGTTTAGAGATAGTGCACACAGGGGCACTACTGTGCTTTGCTGATCTTTTGAATGTCCCTTCCAAGGGAAGGGTGTCCTCGCCCAAGTTATTAGTATTCCATGTAATAATCCTATAGCTAATCAGTAACATTTATGTCAAACACTCTACTGTTTTTTAAAATTCATTCATTCATTTGATACAGGGTCTCACTATGCAGCCCAGACTCATAGCGATCCTAGTCTCAGCCTCCCCAGTGCTGGGATTACAGGGGTGTGCTACCATGGCTGGTTTCGGTGGCATGTGGTACCAGGGATTGAACCTGGGTCCTTGTACTTGCTGGGCAGGCACTCAGACCGCCAGGCTGTCTCCTAACCCTACTTTACTGTTTTATGTGGGTCATTTCTTGCTCACAAACACCTGAATTTCTGTAGACCACGTATAGTGTAAGACCCATTTTACAGGTGAAGAATCAGGGCTCTGAGATGTTCTATCATTTATTCAGGGCTAGGAAGCTGGTGAATGCTTGAGCTTGAGCCTGGGTCTACAAGAGTCATGTGACTCCTAAGCATGGGCTTCTCGGCACCCTAAATGTGCCCAGAGATAAGGTAAGACAATGCACTGTTACCTAGGTTGGACTACTCTTTCTCCTCTTTTGGTCTCTTTTCTCAATTCATTTGTATCATCACTTCCTGCCTTTTTCTTTTATTAAGAAGAATCACCTGGCATGGTGGCATACACCTGAATTCCTAGCATTTGGGAGATTATGGCAGGAGTTTGAGGCCAGCTGAGGCTACGTAGTGAGTCCAAGGCCAGCCTGAAGTGGATAGTGAGATCCTGTCTCAAAAATCAAGAAAAAAAAAGAATTATCAAAGCTGCCCTTTAAGAATATCAACTTCAAACGTATCAGCTATCTATTGTGTTACACAATAATCCAATCCCAGAGGCCTAAAAGGACATGTATGTTATTTGCTCATAGTCCTGAGGTTGGCCAGCTGGGCTGTTTTCCACTGGTCTCTCCAGGCCTCATGTGGCTACAGATGGCTGAACACCTGGCTGGGGCTGGGTGGCCTAGTGTAGTCTTACCCACAGGTCTGGTATCTGAGAGTTCATTGGCCGGAGTGGCTCAATTCTCTTTCACACTGCTTACTCAGGTTAGCTTGGGCTCCAGTAAGAAGGTGAAAAACTAAACCTGCCTGGGCTCTGAATTGGTAGATTGTGATGCGTTCTGTTGGTCAAAGTAAGACTTGTCCACAGTGAAGGGGTGATTAGATTGCACATCTTGTTGGGAGGCCAACTGATGGCCCTTTCTAGTCTATCATACTGCAGCTCCTTCCCCCAAAGATCTGATGCAATCCCTTTTGTGTCTTCACTCCCCTCCCCTTCTTCTATGCTCTTCTTATACTTTTAATAATAATCTCTCACTTCACATCACCCAAAGCTTTATTCACTCACTCAACAAATAGGTTTTATGTGCCAGGGACAAAGCTCCCCCTCTAATGAATCTAACATTCTAGTAGAAAGGGTAGACTTGCAGTGAGAAAAAGGACATAGTGTTGGACTGGGGTGAACAACAGGAGCTTTACATAACAACAGCAGAGTAAGAGGATGTGTGAGAAGATGGCAGGGCAGTGAATGGTTTCCCTTGCACACCCAGTGGGCCGGAGACCTCAGTGAGAGGACATTAAGGGGATGCTCCAAGTGGACATAGCAAGCTCAGAGTCCCAAAAGCTGACTTTCAGAGACACAATCCTTTCCAATGTTAAATGCAGTAAAACAAAACAAAACAAAAACCAAACAAACAAAATTAAACTTTAAAGAACAATGAACATTGGCATAAGTCAAATCTTCCTAAATGAGTATTTTATTACACCTGATTCTGTGGAGAGTCAAATTACAGCTCCTGAGAATGCATGGGTTCTTCTGAGTATTTGCCTCTCCCAACTATGTTCCTGGCTTGCTTGTCTGCTCTTGGGCTCGTTGTAAGGATCAAAATGACAACATAAAATTGAAAGTTGCCCCCTGCTTCCTTTTTCATTTCCTACCGCAAGAATGCCAGTGATTTCTTTTTTTAAAGAACACAAATCAGTTATCACTTCCTGTTTAAAACTCTCCAAAGGTTCCCTGCTGCCCAAACAATAAACTTTTAAGCACTCATGTGTGGTTTACAGGCCCTCTCACGGCCTGGGTTTTTCAGTCTCCGATCTCAAATTCTGTGATTTCCTCCAACCCAACACATTCAGGTCATTACCAGTCAGTTCCTTTCTGAAACTGGCTCTCTGACCAGAAGCCCTTTCTTAATTGACCCACACTTCCGCCCAGTGACTAGACAAGGCCTTAGGGCAGGGAACACTAACTGGGTTCATTTAGAATAAACTGTCCTGCTCCCTTTTACAATATCTTCCCAGATCAAATCTTGGCACAGCCCAGCACTAACTGGGTGCCATTAAAACAAACTCTTAAGCTCAGTTTGCTTATCTGCAAAATGGCCAGAGACCCCACCTTGCCCTGGGTAGGCTGCGAGGCAGAGCAGCCCTGGGGAGGAGGTCGCATTTGTGATTGGAGGGCAGGAAGAGGTGGGGGGGCTTCCTGAAGTCTGCACAGTTCGCAGGCAGAGTATGCAGCCAGCGCGCTCCAAGACAAGTCACTCGCGGTGCGACGTCGCCATCCAAGGCCAGGGGTTTCCCCAGCAGCGCCACCCCCGCGTAGCCTTAGTCCAACCTCCAGCTTTGAGCCCAGGGGCGCGCGACAATTGTCTGCGCATGCGCGGTCCCAGGGTGCGCAGGCCCCGCGATTGGGGGCGGGGCCGGACCCGGGCCGGGCGCGATCGGGCGTGCGCGGCTGGAGGGGCTGACGCGCGCCTCACCGCTAAGGCGCA